AAGTATGAAAAGTAAGCATACGTTTGAGCACGCATCATATAGGCATCCCTCCGGTACCAAGGTATGGGACACTTGGCTTCAGTACGCTTAGGTACAGTTGGAGCCCTTCTGAGGAGCCACCTAGGGTACTCCACTGTTCTGTTAGTGATACGTGCACAGTAGTGCCATGAACGTACACTTCTGGCGTTATATATGCAATATGATATTATGTCAGTGATACGTGCACCGTAGTGCTATGACCGTACACTTCTGGCGTTATATACGCACTCTGATTATGATTAGTATTGTTGCATTACTAGTTTTGTTGCCACACTACTGGGATTTTTCTCACCCCTTTGGGGCTGCTATTTTTTACAAAATGGCAGGAGGACGGAAGAGCATTTGAAGACTTGATTATATGGATATTTGCTGTTATGTGCTGCTGTTTGGACTTTGTTGTTGCTGTGTATTTGATGGATAACTGTATTAAATCGAGAAGTTTGGATTACTTTTGGATTATGATTTTATTGTTGTTTTAAGACTCTTATTATCAACAAGTATTTTGGAAACAAATTCTAGAAATGTTTTGGGAAAATAATTTCTGACGTTTTATTAAGTGCTGATTTTTGAACAGTTTTGCGAGCACCTTACGAGTTATGTTACGAGGGGCAAACGAACTCCGATTTACTATTATTTTATATGCACGCGAAGCCCCACGTGTCTAGTTTTTGATTATATAAAATTTACAATAAAATTTTGAGAATCTAATTTTACACGAATTTTTCAAGACAGAAAGGTCTGCTAGGAAATTAATGTTTTCAGCAAGTTAATGAAATTTGAAAGTATACTCTGATTTTGGTAAGCAACCTGATTTCAATTTTAAGCTTTATTTAGCAACATCAAAATGAATTTTCAGTAGTTAAAATGACGTCAAAAACTCTAATTCCGCTTATCAAACAAACTCTCCTGGACGCGTACAGTAGGGGGTGTTACAATTTTTATTTCATAACTCAAAAACATAGTTCAGTAATTAATTTAATTCTGCTACGACTCTAATCCGCTTAGCAGACAACCTCCTTGGACACGTACAGGGGAGAGTGTCACACTAAATGGTATCAGAGCAGTTTTGATTAAAGGTGTCTGTATTTGATGAAATAATTGTTGTTTGTACTTGGTTGATGAATGGTCATTGTTTGAACTTCTTGATTAATTGTATGTGTTTGTTGCATTGTTGCTGTTTGGACTTAGCTGTGAATGGGTTACTAGTTAAAATTGTTTTATATGTGGAAGTGTGATGATACTGGTAGTACCCGGTACTAAGCATGGCTATGCCCATTCCCTTGCTAGGTGGTGAGCCTGATCAACTCATTGTCGCGCAAGATGTGTGTGCACAATCATGGTTACCACGGGGTACACTTGTGCCTGAGCACTATGTGTGAAATCGTAAATTGCTGCTTGCATTAATACTTGACTATCAATTCTCTTCTTCGTGAATTATAAGTAAGATTTTATAAATTTTATATATACTTGATGTGAAAGTTTGTGATATTCTAAGCCGTGGATGAAAATAAGTAATCTTTAAATAATGATTGCTGCTACATATTTGTTTCTCTGATTTATGACATTTCCTGTGTGTTGTGATTGTAGTATATATCTGGATAATAGAAACTATTATCTTTTTCATTGATTCTGTTGGGCCTCCTAACTGAGTAAGAGTAGCAATGCCAGAACCCTAATAATTGACGTAGTTAACTAGCATTGAGGAGACTGGTTGTTTGATCTTAAAACTGTACGAAGACAGATTGATGTAGGGATAGATCACTTAGTTAAATAAATAAAATTAATGCCCTATAAAGCATAATTGGGGTAAGTAAGACTCAACCATGTGGGCACTAAACCCTTACAAACCTCCTAACGGTGAATTAGCACTAGACATCATTCTTGAGAAAGACGTGGTGAAACACAGTGATGTGTGGAGGAGAGTACTTGACTCCTACCTCCTTATCCTTCATGTGACTGATACTTGTCGTTTTAGTTCATACGTATTGGATGGCTTTGTATGATTTTGACTACTCTCAGACTTGCATGTAGTTTATTGTCTCTGATTATATTAACGGTCTTTATTTGGTGATTGTCTGAATCTGTCAGTTTAGATTTTTAAACCTTTTTGCAACTGATTGTGGGAGCGGAAATCTGATGCTTGCAGGTATATAGAACCTTAGGTTTGGTTTACTTTATGAATACCATTATATTAATCAATTCAGCACCACTACCTCTGATCAATATTCACATTTAAAATGTTAAACTCTTGGTCACATTTAACTCTGTTGCATGATTCAGTTTTCCTATGGAGTGACTTAAAGCTGAAATTGTTTAGCAATGCAATATGCTTAGTTATTGACTTAATCTGTTTTGAGTATACACTGTTAAAGTAACATCTGAAATAAACTGGATCTTCCTTAATTAGTTAAAATGAATTGAAAGAAAGTATGTTTTGATCAAATATTTTGTGCCTGATATTTAGGTAGTGCAAAATTATTGTTGTACATTTTGTTTATGTCATACACTCAAACTTACTCCGTGATGTTCATCATTTTTATTGGGCTGCACCGTATTTGACTCATGAAGAAAACTATATTTTCGCTAATAAATACCAATCCTTAAAATTACACTCATCCACCGTATGTTTGATCAAACTATTAATGGAGAAATGAAGGGTCAATTTTTTTTTATTCTATGTTAAAAGTTGGAAATACACCATTATCTTGATTTAATTATATGTGTGCTCAAATTCTAGATATAGATTAAAATGAATCTCTCTTATTTTCTGTTCATGTTTGTTGGGAGCTGGAAATTATTTATGGATAGGTCTCTATGGCTAGTCACTGGTTAGAACTCTCCGGTTATGCTTGCAACATCCCTTGGACGTCTGATATAAAATTTGAATTTAAAGTGAACATCTGGATGTTATTTACTTGCTACTTAACCGATATAAGATTCAATCTTTGACTTGAAAACACTGATGAGAATCCCGTGTTTAAAAGTTTGATATTTGCTTCGTGCGCATCATGATATATTATTATTGTCTTGAGATGTCCTTATTGCCTAGATGTAATGCTGCTTGACTAGATGAGATTAGCTATTGTTTAAGGAACCTTGGATTTAATGTTTTTCATGTATGAGATCTCATACCGTAAGTATTATTTGTTCCTTGAATGCAAACTTGAGTACAACTAGGAAATTTGAATACGATTATTGTGAATTAGTTTCTGAAAGCTTGGTCTGTTTTGGTGGATTATGTTTCGATATATGTTTCAAAATTGTAAATTGTGTCAACAATTGGAATGTCATATCATGGTTAATGGATCCTCTGATCAGTGGAGTCAATTACATCCGAGGTACCTAGGACAACGGAAAGCTCGAGGAAGTTTCCTTATAAGGGTGTTTTGACGAACTGTATGAGAGGTACCACTTACCATAATATGTATGAAAAACAGGATGAAAGTTTGAGATTGGATGAAGATTCTCCTCGTTTGAAATTTAGAATGTAATGTGCTCTGACTTACTTGCTTGATTTCCTGAAGGACAAAATTCTGTCTGTGATATTCTTAGGTAAGGTGACTAATGTAGAAATCTGAATATAATGCATAGGTGTGATGTGTTTAGCGAGTGAACTAGATTGTTATTATTAATAAGAAACAAGTAGGAGGTGATGGCACTTCTAAGAAATTGTAACATGCATATTACAAAGACGAAACTTTTAAAATTGGAGATCCTAGATAATTGGCCCCTATATTTGCGCAGGTAATAGGAGGTAACAGTATTTCATTTTAAATGAACCCCTACATTCTTAGGAACTTTTGGTTTGGGCCACTGATTTGTTAATTGCATTTTATGGAAACCTTTAAACTTAGGATCGGTTGAGTAGTAGTAGGGTGTGACGTCAAGGGTGAGTGATGATATAGGGATATCGAGAAATCTCTTTATATGGTTATGTTCTACCTCATACATTATAATTCTGAATCGGGTGAATAAAAAGGTTAATCACTTATGCCTACACTAGTAATAATTATTAAAATTTATAAAGTCAAGAAGTGTTGTGCAAATGGATTTGTTAGTTGTCGATTAATTGTGCACTAAAACCCTGAGCTCTAGTACAATTTTTTTTTAGCTGGAGTTTCTTGATCTAGTAAGATTTTGTCCATTTTATTCCACTCTTGTGTTATGGTAATTGTTGATGTTTAAAAAGAACTTAGGAAATTGTTCGTATCATGGTTAAGCTTAGGAAGATTTTTTTGTTATTATTTCCTTCCGTACGAACAAAATTGTATTATGTGTATATCATATACTGATCATGTAAAGTACAAATTCATTGGTAATGCTGTGAGATGTTGATGACTTTTATAGCTGGCTGTATGAATGCAGTAAACTGTATGACATGGTGTAATGGTGTTAAACGTTAGACTTAGGAAGATTTTGGGATGGTAAGACGAAGTTTGGGGACAAACTTCAAAACAAGTTGGGGAGAGTGTAACATCCCGCTAATTTAGGAAATTATATAAATTGTAGTTAGGGACATAGAAGCTTGCTTAGAACTCGATATATATATATATATATATATATATATATATATATATATATATATATATTTAATTAGGGTAAACCTATTTTAATTCATGAGATTTATGTTAATTATATTATTGAGTGAGTAAGTATTTTAGGAAATTGAAATACTAGTTAAGAGGATAGGATAAGTTAATTTTGATATAAAATTTAATTGACACCTAAAAGAAATAGGGAGTCATGAAAATACTTGAACCTTGGATTGTGAAGAAAGAAAATTAGACCCCAATTACCCTTTAGGGTTTCGGCCCAAAGGCCCTGAGAGAAGGATTTAGGTAGCCCAAACTTTTAAACCACCCACTTTATTATCCTAAGGAAATCTGAAATTTATGCTCCTTATTGATCCACTCCTTTGCATGAATGCCCATTGGTTGAAAAACATACATCCTTCATTTCTACTTCTCTCTCCGCTCGTGCGTACCAAGGGGGAAATAGCAAATCTGCTATCTGTTGTAATCTTGGAGGAGCGTTGGGTATGAGTGTGAGTAGTTTATCACCCTATTCTCCTTCCACGAGTGTAGCAAGAGAACTCAAGCAAAAACCCAACATAATCACCCCCTACACAAATCGTGAAATTCATAGGGTAGCAAGACTCGTAAGCATCCTTCTCCTTAGGTCCACTGTTCGGCTGTGTGCCCAAGCAAAGAAGCTGTATTATTTTTATTACTTCCTTGTTCCTCATGATTATCTTTGCCCTGTTGGAGATTCTGCTGCATGCAGAAAGATATCTTGACTCTCACCCTCCACCCTCTTCATTTGGACGCACATTCATCCTCTAGTGGAGAAGGTGAAGTATTTTTGTTTGCTGTCACATTGTCCTTTTTATTGGAAACGTTTCTGATTTGGACTTCTTTCCCATGCCCTCGAACCAGTTTTGATTGGGTCTTTTCTTCCATGGCATGCCACTAAAACCAATTTCTTGGAGCTATAGAGAAGAGAGAGGTGGCACAGCTTTTGGTCCCTGTTCTCCATGGCCGATTTGCACAACTTGGGTTCCTTGTAAGTAATTGTGAGTCAAAAATAACCTTCCCTTGTTTCTTTTTTTATCTATTCGGTCCTCTTGTGCATATGGGAGAATACTTTAATTTGGTCACTTACTTCCATTAAATTCTGCTCTTTAGAACTAGGATGTAACGAAAACAATATGCTAAAAGCTTAATTGTCCTAGCCTTAGAAAAATTAGGTAGTGTTGTCTTATTGGAGTAAAATTTTGTGCACCTGAATTCTGTCCTCTTGAGTAGCTCGTAGGAAATAAACCCTGTTTTGGAATCCTTCCTCAAATGTTGTACAAATCGTAAACCTCACTGTATGTATGTCATAAGTCAGATTTTGGAACGTGGGAAAGATAAGTCATCACCTTGTGTGGACTGCCCTTTTGACTAGAAGGATAATCTCATTTTCTTGCATATGTTAATTAATCATAAAAGACAGCCTGGAATTAGAAAAAGAAAATAGTTGTTGCATGTGTTTAGGAATCTGTAAACAACATGTTGTATGCCTCACTAGCACACCCTAGTTATTGTAAATCAAGTTATGTAAATATTAAATGTATAGCACTTAACCCATGGACAAGAAACCGAAATTTCATGCATGTGTAACTGACTTGGATTTTGTCAATTAAGGACAATTGGTGATATGATCCCCCAATAGGATTGGAGGAATGGATCTACTAGGAATGGAAAATTATAACTCCAAATTCAGCCGCCAACACGTACTGTTAAAAATAGAACGTATCTCACGCTACGGACCTCGGATTTGGGTGATTCCAAAACGAGGTGAAAGATGGCTTCCTGAATCACGATTTTGGCACAAGAATCACTGGAAAAGGATAAGGAATTCGGGAGATATGAATCCAAGATAATATAGAACGAAATTGGAGTTTAAGGATTATAGGTAGGTGCCACAATTCCAAAGAATTGATAAGCCCAAGAACGCCACAAGGATTGATGCCCTTGATAAGTTCAGAGATTCTCAAAAGAACCCAAGATAACTAGTCTCACCAAAATAGGTTAACTTGATATTCCAAATCTGTCTTCAAAAGCCATGGTGTTCCCTTATATAGTGGGCAACAACCATATTGAGTTTAACCTAAAAGTGCTTACACATAAAAGAAAATAGACAGCCCAATAAGCCTTATTACAAAAAGTTTAACTAAATATAAGGAAATAAAATTAAGTGCAGAATTTGGGCCAAGTAAAATAAAGCCTTCATGCATATCCATTGAGGCTTATTCTTCTAGGTCTTCAATTTGAATTAAGTGTATCATTTTGGGCTCTTCTTCCTTTAGACTTGGGCTTGTCTCAAGTAAAGTGGTCACCAAGAGATTTAGAGCCTCTTTAGCCTTTTTAGCTTTTGCTCTTGTCATTGGGCTTCCAAGACCTTGTATGTCCTCCAAGTTTGTTGTCTTGGTCATGCCACCTCCTATGTCCTCATCATTCCCTCCTTCTTTAGAAGAATTTGTCCTCAAATTGTAATCCTCGTCTCCTGCATCAAAAAGGAACAAATCAGCCACATTAAAAGTAGCACTTACACCATACTCACCAGGAAGGTCTATTTTGTAGGCATTATCATTAATTTTGGACAGCACTTGGAAAGGGCCATCTCCTCTTGGTTGAAGCTTAGATTTCCTTTGGGAAGGGAACCTCTCTTTTCGCAAATGAACCCAAACCCAATCACCTGGTTCAAAAATTACCTTCTTCCTTCCTTTATTTGCCTGCTTAGCATAGCTCTCTACCCTTTTCTCAATGTTTGCTTTTACCCTTTCATGTAGTTTTCGCACATATTCAGCCTTACTCTTACCATCTTTATGCTGAAAAATAGAGTTGTTAGGCAAAGGTAGCAAATCAAGAGGAGTGAGAGGGTTAAAGCCATAAACAATTTCAAAAGGAGAATAATGAGTAGCACTATGAACTGCCCGGTTATATGCAAACTCAACGTGGGGCAAACATTGTTCCCATGACTTGATGTTCTTTTTAATTACAGCCCTCAAAAGAGAAGAAAGAGTTCTATTCACTACCTCAGTTTGGCCATCAGTTTGTGGATGACAAGTAGTAGAAAAGAGAAGTTTAGTCCCCAACTTACTCCATAATGTCCTCCAAAAATGGCTTAAGAATTTAGTATCACGATCAGAGACAATGCTTCTTGGAAGCCCATGGAGTCTTACCACTTCCTTGAAGAACAAATCAGCAATATGGATTGCATCATCAACCTTTTTGCACGGAATGAAATGTGCCATCTTAGAAAACCTGTCCACCACAACAAAAACAGAATCTTTACCATTTTTAGACCGAGGTAGTCCTAACACAAAATCCATAGAAATATCAATCCAAGGGCAATCTGGAATAGGTAAAGGAGTATACAACCCATGAGGCAATAATTTAGACTTAGACTTCTTACATACAATGCATCTTTCACACAATTTATGTACATCACGCTTCATGTGTGGCCAATAAAAATGTTCATGCAGCATGTCTAGAGTCTTTTGGATTCCAAAATGTCCCATTATGTAACGTCCGACCACTTGCAAGAATCAATGACTGTCCCCACACACTAACACGAGACTTTTCAGTGTGCTTTGTCCTCACTCGCACACTTCCCGAGAAAGCTTCCCAAGAGGTCACCCATCCTAGAATTGCTCCAAGTCAAGCACGCTTAACTGTGGAGTTCTTCCGATCCGGGCTACCGAAAAGTAGATGCATCTTGTTAGTATAGGTAGTACCAATTAATTCTTATAAGTCATTCCTAACTGTACCGTCCCATACCAGCACAGTCTCTGGAATCCCTCTCTTTCAGGTGTTGATTCGATTCATTCATGAACCCCCAAGCTGCAAGATTTGGCATAAGCCGCTCATTGTCTGTGCCCTTTCGCACCGGCGATCACTCCCTGCCCTTGCCAGCTCTTAGGATGTTACATGCCCACCAGCTTCCGCCTGGTTCGTCCTCGGACCACACCGTACTGGAAGAGAGGCCTTACTCTGATACCAATTAGTGTAACATCCCACGTAAATAGGAAATATATTATGTTGCTATAAGAATTTTGGGTATTATGTTCTTGTATGTGCTTTGTGCTTTGATTCGAGTATATAATTATTAGGAGAAAATTAATTTGAGTTAGGAAGTTCCTTGAAATAAATTAATTAGTCACAGAAATTATGTAGGCATGAGAAAGCTAATTTAGAATTACAGCCATAAGTTATTAAAAATAAAGTAAGAGACAATAAATTAATTAAAAGGATTTAATTAGTGATGGGCTGAATTATAATATAAGAGGAATTAGCATGTTGGGCCTTGTTTGGGTGAGAAGGACGTTGGCCCATAGGATGATGGGTATTAGTCAGCCAAATTTAAAAACATTGGGGCTTATTGTTCATGGGTTAATCTCAATTGATTTCATAAGTTAGTATGTTGGGCCACATCAATTGTTTTGACCTGCGGCCCAAGAGCCCTTGGAGCAGCAACCCAACCCAATTCACTTCCCAATCTGATCCAGCTTTCCCTCCTACCTGATCTCAGCGTGAAATCCCTCTCCTCTCAACGTGATTGGATGAAAATTCTCTTGGCCAGCACAACCTTATCACCTAGTGAGTCACGTCTCTGCCTTGTGCAGTGGAGAAAGATCAGAAAAAGGATTGCAGCCTAACCGTGCCTAACCCCTTTTGTAAACCCCAAAATCTGCCCACATCTAGTAGCAACCAATCGGTCTGCAGAGAGAAGGATGCATGCCTGCTCATTGGATAAAATTTTTAACTCCCTTCCTTCTTCCCTCACGCGTTCATCAGAAAAGTGATGGGCATAAATTTTGATCTTTGGTTGTGTGGATAAACTCACAGCCAGCCTTCTTTTTTTCCCTCTTATACGCTGTTTGCAAGAGAACCAACATCAGCCTTCCCTTCTTGTTGCTCGTTATCTGTTTGAGAAGGAGAAACAGAGACCAATGTCATCACCCTCACCAAACCATCCAGAACCGTGATCTCTCTTCCCTCTCCTCAACCAACCAAACTTGTAAAATTATTTTCTGATAAGGGATTTCATACAAAGGAAACATGGTGGTGGAATGGAGAGGTGCAAGAGGCAATTAAACATAAGAAGGAGTGCTTTAGATCTTTGCATAAAAGTCCCAGTGAAGAGAACCTGCAAAAGTTTAGATTGGCGAGAAAAAATGCAAAGAAAGCAGTGCGAGAAGCGAGAGGCAAGGTTTTCGACGAGTTGTCTAAAAATCTTGGGAGCAAGGATGGTGAAAGAGGTATTTATAAACTTGCAAGGATAAAGGATAAGAAAAGTAAAGACCTCACTCAAGTTAGATGCATCAAGGATGAAAATCAAAAACTTCTGGTGAGAGATGAAGATGTAAATGAAAGATGGTTGAAATACTTCAACAAGCTGTTTAATGGGGATGGAGATACAAGCGAGGTGGACTTAGAGGACGCGTATGATGATATGAATAGAAGATTTGTACGCAGAATTAATACACATGAAGTTAAGGAGGCTTTAAAGAGGATGAAGACTAATAAAGCCTTGGGGCCTGATGGTGTCCCTATTGAAGTGTGGAGAGGCCTGGGGGATATGGCAATAAAATGGTTGACCAATCTTTTTAATAAGATTCTCCAGACGAATAAGATGCCTGATGTATGGAGGAAAAGTATGATTGTGCCTATCTACAAAAACAAGGGAGATATACAGAATTGTTCAAGCTATAGAGGCATTAAGCTAATGAGTCATACTATGAAGTTGTGGGAAAGGGTTATTGAACATCGCTTGAGGAGAGATACCAAGGTTTCTGTAAATCAATTTGGATTTATGCCAGGAAGATGTACCATGGAAGCCATTTTCTTGATGCGACAACTAATGGAAAGATACCGAGAAAAGAAGAAGGACTTGCATATGGTGTTCATAGACCTTGAGAAAGCATACGATAGGGTTCCAAGGAAAGTTTTATGGTGGGTCCTGGAGAAGAAAAAGGTTCCATTAAAGTATGTAAAGGCAATCAAGGATATGTATGATGGGGCTACTACAAGTGTAAAAGCTTGTAACGGATCATCAAGTTATTTTCCTATCACGGTAGGTGTACACCAAGGGTCGGCTCTAAGTCCTTACCTCTTTGCCTTAGTTATGGATGAACTAACAAAAGATATTCAAGAGGAAGTGCCATGGTGTATGCTTTTTGCAGACGATATTGTGCTTATTGATGAGAGCAAGGAGGGTGTTAATAGAAAACTTGAATTGTGGATAAGCACATTGGAATCCAGAGGATTCACATTAAGTCGAAGCAAGACTGAGTATCTGAAGTGTGAGTTTTCTCTGGTACAAGATGAGGACCAAGAACCTGTGCATCTAAATGGTCAAGAGGTACCCAAAAAAAATGCTTTTAAATACTTGGGCTCCATTTTACAAAACGGTGGAGAGATTGATGAGGATGTAAATCACAGAATCAGAGCAGGGTGGATGAAATGGCGTAGTGCATCTGCATTTTTGTGTGACCGCAAAATTCCCCTGAAGTTAAAAGGAAAATTCTATAAAACGGCAGTACGACCGACAATGCTATATGGAGCGGAATGCTGGCCAGCACATAGGCAACATGAGCATAAGATAGGAGTAGCAGAGATGAGGATGTTAAGGTGGATGTGTGGTTACACAAGGATGGATAAGATAAGAAATGAAGATATTCGACGAAAGGTCGGAGTAGTACCGGTAGCCGAGAAGATGAGAGAACATAGATTGAAGTGGTTTGGGCACGTGATGAGAAGACCCATGGATGCTCCTGCAAGAACAGAAGTTTGTTACCAAAAGCTAAACACAAAAAGAGGCAGAGGTAGGTCGAAGCTTACTTGGGGGAAAGTAGTAAAACAAGATTTAATGGAGTGAGATATAGATTGGCGGACAGTATGTCTTAGAAAGGAATGGAGAAAAGCTATAAGTATGGTGGAGGGTTAGACCCGCTGTTATTCCTATGTTCCAGATGGTCCCTTTTTAGTCCTTTTCCCCTTCATTTCCCCCACTTCTTCTTGTCCCTTTCTTTTTTACTTTTATTTATTTATATATACATATATTTTTATTTTATTTTATTTTATTTTATTATTTTATTTGTGTATTTTTATTTATTTATTAATTTATTTATTAATTTTTTATTTTTTATTTTTTTATTTATTTTTTACTTATTTTCAACCGTTTTGTATCTTTCATGTGGGTTCATCTACCACCGACCCCAATTAATTTGGGATAAAGGTGTTGTTGATGTTGATGTTGATGTTGTTTTCTTTTATTTTCCCAAAACCGCAACATCATTGGAGTTCAAACGGAAGAACGATGTCACCTTTTTCTTGGGTTTCTGTTGCAGAAACCATGCAACCCCTTTTGAAGCAGAAACGAAGATTCAACGTATATATCTCTTCACTCTGTTCAGCCGTACCTTCCCCCTCAAGAAGGTAAGGTATCTTCTTGCTATATATTTTTGTCCCTGACTTCGTTAAAATTCTTAAAGACTCCTCTCGGTTTGTCCAGCTGAGGCGTTGGTGGCTGCCTAGTGGTCAAACGTGCGAGTGACTTGGTGTAGCAACAAGCAGAAATCTGAATCCATCTCTTTCTTCCTTTCTGTTCGGTCTTGAAGGTAAATCAAGGGCTGAACTTTCTAACTTTCTGTTCTGTTTTGATCTGCTCCTTACTGTAAAACCGAACCCCTGATGATTTTAGAAAATGTATCTTATGTTAAAATTTAAAAATATTATTACCGGTTGTGAATAAAGTGCTACTGGCTTAAATTAATTAAATTTAAAACAGTACGGTTATGTCTTCTCCGAACCTGCCTGATGAGAACTCTTAGGATTCCCTCTGTTTTTGTTGTTAAAAATCTCATTTGGAAGTCACACAATCCTTAGGGTAGGACCCTTCTTGGTCGCGGGTTGTAGGGATATTTTAGGCTTGGGAAGCTTTGGTTTAATGTTTATAAAAGCTTGAACACTATGCTGATTTTTCTGTTTGAAATTAGGTGCCGTTAATTCGTGAATTGGACATTTTCGCTGCTGTTTGGAATCGGTATAGTGACGTTTAAGGTAATTGTGTGAAGGCACTACTCTTCCTACTTGCTAGAAGGAGCACGAGATGAGATCGTGGCTCCATGTCTTGATATATCTATACGTATTAATATTGCTCGTTTTGACATCTTGTTAATCTTGCTATATATATATATATGCTGCAAAGTCTTGTTATGATACAAATTATATGATCTTGACATACATGTTCATCATGACATTTTATTTTGTATGCTGCGTGCGTCACAAAGCATAGCATTCGGGCATCAATTTCATATTGCGACAAAAAAATCATTTTTAAAAACTAAGCATATGGATGAGCATGCACCATATAGGCATTACCTACGGTACCAAGGTCTTGGGACAGTTGGCTTCAGTCCGCTTAGGCCACGGTTGGATCCCTTCTTGAGAAGCCATCAAGGGTAATCCACTATGCTTGATAGTACGGGCACATTAGTGCTATAACGTACTCTTGGCGTTTTACGCATCTTGTTTAGCATATGGCAGCATGTATATATATATGATAAATCTTGTTATTTTAACTATTTCGGTTTCTAGCTTATGTTTCTTGCATTTTGGTATTGACTCACACTACTGGGAAATGTTTCTCACCCCTTTGGGGCTGCTGCTTTCTGATGTACAATGGCAGGAGGACGCAAAAGTATTTAATGTTTTGTTATGAGATGCTTGGCTGTTTTGTGTACCCGTAGCTGGATTCATGGCTGTTTTGATGAGTTGGGTGACTGTGTTTGCAAGAAGAATAACTTGAAGTTTCATTATTATGTCATTTTGGATTTTAAAAGTTGTTTATTTTTGTTTGGAAAATTTCTGGTCCAGTTACTGATCTTGAACTTTTGGTTTAATTGCTGTTTTGGATTAATGACTATGATTTTTGGAAGTATGGATTTTTTTCTGAAGACTGTTACTTTGCGAGCAACTTAAAAGTTGTCGTCCCGGGGCTACGAACCTTCGAATGCGGCATAATTTATATGTGCGCGAAGCCCCTGAAAGTATCTTTAAGAATCTATAGAAATCAAAATTTTATGGTAACTGTACGAATTCTGAAAAATAACGCAAGACAGCAGGTTTTTAAGAAAATTCGCAGAATTCGCGAGCAACTTGCGAGTTCGAGTTCGAGGGGCTATTCATCTCGTAATCGCACATATTTTATATGGACGCGAAGCCCCGTGTATCTAGTTTCACCGTAGCAAATAATTATTTTTACCCGACATCAGATTGATTTTATATGAATTTTAGAGAACAGTACGTTTTTCTGGTAAAAAGAAAAATTTCAGCAAGCGCTTGTTTTGAAACTTTCGCTGTTTTCATGAATAAACAATTTTAAGTACAAGGTTTTATAATCTTGAGTAGCTCAGTAAAGATTCATTGTGTTTAGCCTTTACAACCGTTAAACAAAATTTTTCCGCTGCGACTCTAATACAAGTTAGCAATAACGCATCTCTTGGATGCATACAAGAGGGGCGTTACACATTAATCCCCCCGCATGTGCCTCTTTCACAAGTAATTCCCTAATGGAACCTTTAGGAAACACAATCTCTTTTCTTTAAACAAGTAATCATTATGCCTAAAAAATCCATTTTGAGCAGCATCCACACAAGTTTTATAGATTTGTGCAAAGTCTGGATCATGCTCATACAATGCCTTAATATGATCAAAACCAATGAACTTAGTTTCAAGAGTAGAGAACAAGGCATACCTTCTTGAAAGTGCATCTGCAACTACATTAGACTTACCTTTCTTGTGCTTGATCACATAGGGAAACTGCTCCAAGAACTCTACCCATTTGGCATGCCTTTTGTTAAGCTTGCCTTGTCCTTTTAAGTACTTTAAGGACTCATGGTCACTGTTGATGACAAACTCTTTGGGCAAGAGATAGTGTTGCCATGTTTGCAATGCCCTTACCAATGCATACAATTCCTTATCATATGTGGAATAATTAAGAGCAGCCCCATTCAGTTTTTCACTAAAATAGGCAATGGGATGCCCCTCTTGCATCAAAACAGCCCCTATCCCCACATTAGATGCATCACATTCAATCTCAAAAGATTTAGAAAAATTAGGCAATACAAGAATAGGTGCATGTGTCAATTTTTTCTTGAGAGCAGCAAAGACTTGCTCTTGTTTTTCACCCCATTTGAAACCAACATGCCTTTTAATCACTTCATTCAAGGGTGCAGCTATGGTACTGAAATCTTTAACAAATCTCCTATAGAAACTAGCTAAGCCATGAAAGCTTCTCACCTCACTTACATTCTTAGGAGTTGGCCACTCTTGAATAGATTTCACCTTCTCTTGATCAACTTGCACTCCTTGTGAGCTAACAACAAAACCAAGAAAAACAACATGGTCTATACAAAACACACATTTTTCCATGTTAGCATACAATTTCTCATGCCTTAGTGCTTCCACAACAAACCTCAAGTGCACAAGATGATCATCATAGGATTTGCTATAAATCAGAATATCATCAAAATAAACCACAACAAACTTTCCTAGAAACTCCCTTAACACATGATTCATTAGTCTCATGAAGGTACTAGGAGCATTGGTTAAACCAAAGGGCATAACCAACCATTCATACAGCCCATATTTAGTTTTAAAAGCTGTTTTCCATTCATCCCCTTCTCTAATCCTAATTTGATGGTATCCACTTTTTAAATCAATTTTAGAGAAGAAACAAGCACCATGCAATTCATCCAATAAATCATCCAATCTAGGAATAGGATGTCTATACTTTACCGTGATGTTATTGATGGCTCTACAGTCAGTGCACATTCTCCAGGTTCCATCTTTCTTAGGCACTAAAAGGACTAGGACTGCACATGGACTTAAGCTTTCTTGCACCCATCCTCTTTTCATCAAGTCTTCAACTTGTCTCTGAATCTCCTTGGTCCCTTGGGGGTTACTCCTATAGGCTGGCCTATTAGGCAATGCAGCTCCCGACACGAGATCAATTTGATGTTCAATGCCTCTTAGAGGAGGCAGTCCATGAGGCACCTCTTTGGGAAAGACATCTTCAAATTCCTGCAACAAAGAAGAAACCTCATTTGGAAGAGAGTTAGTAGGACTTGCATCTTTGATATTATTACACTCTTTACTCAAAAGTAAGAGCATTGGCTTTTTCAATTGTATAGCCTTTTTCACCTCTTTTTCTTTTATAAACAAATTTTGTGTTTTTCTCTCTTTTTCTTGCTCTCTTCCACTCTCTTTCCCCTTTTTCTCTCCACTTTCTTTTCTCTCTTGCTTTCTTTTATCTCTCATTTTCAAATGATCCTCACTAACTTCTCTTGGAGTCAAAGGTGCAAGCATAGTCTTGCGTTCTTCATGCACAAAAGAGAATTTGTTGGTGTAACCATCATGCATAACTTTCTTATTATATTGCCAAGGTCTCCCAAGAAGCAAATGACAAGCCTCTATTGGTACCACATTACATAAAACTGTATCATCATACTTTCCTATGGAGAAGTTCACCTGCACTTGTTTGCTTACGGTCACTTCACCATCCTCACTAAGCCATTGAAGCTTATATGGCAGCGGGTGAGGTTTGGTTTCCATGCCCAATTTAGACACCATTCTAGCACTTGCAACATTGGTACAACTCCCTCCATCAATAATTAAAGAACATACCTTTCCATGGATAAGGCATCTAGTATGAAAAATGTTCTCTCTTTGACTATCATCCATGTCTTTTACTTGGCTACCCAACATCCTTTTTACCATAAACAAATCTCCTTCCGGTATAATTTCCTCGTCATACTCATCTTCATCATCATGTGAGGCAGAATCTGAAGAAGACTCACTAGTAATCTCTCCATCTTCTTTAAGTAACATAGTCTTCTTAGTTGGACATTCTGAAGCTATGTGACCTCTTCCCAAACACTTGAAACATTTTATTTCACTACTCCTTGTCTTCTTAGGGGTCTCATTGGACTTAATTTGAGTTCTTTGAGGTGCAGTAGTGGGGTTGCTTGATGAAGTACCTCCCTCCTTCTTATTTATGTCCTTCCAACTTGAAGAATTAAAATTAGAAGAGTTTTTCCACATGACACCCTTTCTCTTGAGTTGTTGTTCTACCTTACTAGCTTGATGCACTAAATCCTCCAACTCCACATAGTTTTGCAACTCCACAACATCCCTTATGTCACTATTCAGTCCATGCAAGAAATGTGCCATAGTAGCCTCCCGATCTTCACTAACATTTGCTCTAATCAAGGAAACCTCCATCTCTTTATAATACTCATCTACACTCTTGTTACCTTGTGTAAGCCTTTGAAGTTTATTGTGAAGGTCTCTATGATAATGGGAAAGAACAAATCTTCTTCTCATTAGCCTTTTCATCTCCACCCAACTATCCACCAATGGTTCTTCATATCTTACCCTCTCCTTTTGCAATTGGTCCCACCAAATGAGAGCATAATCACTAAACTCCATGGCTGCCACCTTCATTTTCTTTTCTTCAGTATAGTTGTGACATGAAAATAAATGCTCAATCTTCATTTCCCACTCCAAATAGGCCTCCGGATCACTTTTTCCTTTAAAAGATGGTATATTAAGCTTCACCCCTTCAATTCTGTCCTCTCTAGCAACATTCTCATTATCTCTTCTTCTCCTTCTTTCATCCCTCCCTCTATGTCTATCATCATCATGATTCTCCTGATTTTCTATTCTCTCAATCCTCTCATATAACTCCTCTGTATGTTCCCTCGTCATCCTTTCCATCTGAGTTGTAATGGCGTCAATTAGCAATCTGTTATCTCCCGTAGGAGGAGGAGCACCTTCACCTGCACCTGCCATACTTTAAGCAAAAGAACAAGAGTAAAAAAGAAATTGGACCTCACCACTCGCTCACGTGTTTACACTCTTAAAAAGTATCACTCGTGTTTGTTTCTCTCTATTAGGCTTTTGTGTAGTGTGCTCTGTTGTCTTTTTCCTCTCAATAGCTCTCTTTAAGTTCTTAACAGAATCTCCAAGAACACTCAAGAGTACAATCCCAAACTCAAGAATTCGTAATGACGCAATACAAATTGGAAATATGTCAAAGAAGGCAAGACAAAGAAAACCAAACCAAATTGAAGGAATTATTCAAGGAAGACACTTTGGACCTGATTTGAGAGTAGTAGTGTGTAACTAAGCTTAAATAACAAGTAGCTGTATAGCATATATATATATATATTTTTTTTCAACCTTTTTTTTTTTTTTTATAAAACCTGACGCTTCAATAAAATGGAATTTGTAATTTTGGAATGAAAAATTCAGATTGCAGTAATGCTAAACTGAATTTGATTGAATTCTCCACAAAACAAGCTATTATTTAACACACTAACAGCATACTACTCAAGGAACAAGGATTAAAAGGATTAAAAATCAAGAACAATGATGAACATAGGACGAACCTTAAGAACACAAGTGCAGAAATTATGAACACAACAAGAAATTGAAACAAACAGAATATCAAAGGAACAAATTAGGAACCAGCAACAAAGGCTAAAACAGAATTGCACAATTCAAAATTAAAAACACAAATACTAGGGATTAGGGTTACCAAATGTGTGATCAGAATTGATGGAAACAATGGAGAAAATCAAACTCAATTCCAATCCTAAAACTGAGCTCTGATACCACATGATATGATCCCCCAATAGGATTGGAGGAATGCATCTACTAGGAATGGAAAATTATAACTCCAAATTCAGCCGCCAACACGTACTGTTAAAAACAGAACGTATATCACGTTACGGACCTCGGATTTGGGTGATTCCAAAATGAGGTGAAAGATGGCTTCCTGAATCACGATTTTGGCACAAGAATCACTGGAAAAGGATAAGGAATTCGGGAGATATGA